CCCCCCCGGGAGCAGATGCTGTTCCGGCGTCTGGAGCGGCGGCTCTTAGCCGAGAGCTCTTGCGCCCCCGGGGGATGTTTCGGCCGTTGTAACGGTGGGGGGTCGGGGGTGAACAGGCCCGGGGCGTCGGTGACCGTCCCGCGGCGCGGGCCGCCGCGGGGACCCGACCCCTGAGACAGCGGTGCGGAAGCCGAGAAACCGCCTCTGGAGAAGGCTGATTTGCCCCCGAATGCCGTAACTTTGCAGCTGAGGGAAAAAGGAATACTTTTCATGTTAATTTGAATAGCACTCAAAACCTGAAAAAAATCTCGATTGTGAATCCTGGGCATATCTTTAAACAGCTTTATTTTGGTATAATTTATAGACCATAAAGCTAACTAGCTGTGTAGGCAGGTGCTTTTGAGTAAAGGTGTCCAGTAGAACTTCCATGGCCGCAGTCCAGCGTTATCACTCTGCCATCCCCCGCCCCCAAAGCCTGGTCATCGCCCCCCACCTCCCACTGTGGGCACCCTTTTAGTGATGTTTTATGTCGTGTGATTGTTGGTTTGCAAACAGAAACTCAACTGAAAGTATCTTTTGGGAGACTTTTTTAGATCAGCGGTATTGTTACAGCAAGGCACAGCACGCCCAGGTGGGTAGGTAAAATGTTTCAAGCCAAAAAAACCAACTCAGCCTCACGCCACATTGCTCTGAAAGGGGGTACGGGGGAACCAAGCAGTCCGGCAGAATGTCTCATTTGGCAGGCACCATACAGAAAGTGAGAAAGAGGACCAAATTGAATTATTTCCTCCTGAACTCTCAGAGGAGATTGAAATGCCAGCCTGCAAAGCCTTCGGATTACAGCTTGCAGTTTTATGTAACTGAGAAAAGTAGTTTAGAGGGCAAAACAGCACAAAAATCTGCTGAGGACTGTTTGGTTTTAGGAAGCCTGCGCTTGCAAAAAAACACAGTGTTTTGTGAGGCCGTGCTGCTGGGTCTTGTGTGTGTTCATGTTTACCATTCAGTAGGTCTAAACCTGGTTACCTGTCCACACCAGCAGGATTTAATCTGGCGTCCGTTTAATTCTGTAACTCCACAGCTCTGACCGGTCGTAGGGAACATTGAGGGTGAAACATGCAGTTTCATTCCAGGTACCGTGGAACAATCAGAACATCTGCTTCTCAGATGAGAGGCCTGGATACTCAGCTCAGTGCCGGTAAAGCTTGGGTGTCAGCGGCTTCTGACGGAGTCGTCTGTTCCACCCTGAGAGGAAGGTTCGGGAAGAGCTGTCAGAGGTTTCCGCTCTGGACCGTCTCCTACTCCGAACCTGGCTTTGGATCTGCCGCAGTGCCTGGGCGGGACCCCCTGTGACCTGAAGGGAGCCTGGAGGGTGGCCTGCCCCCAGCCGGGTGCCCCCGGCAGGCCTCACCTGCCTGCCTTTCAGTCTCCTTGCGGGTGGAGTGGGAGGCAGGGGCCGCCTCGTCGGTTTACCACGAAGACAAGATTGTCGGGTGTCTTCGAGCCTTCTTAGAAGAACACAGGCATTCCACGGACGTGTTTTATTTTTTAACAATTTCCGTTGCTATCAGCAGTTCTGTCGCTAGCGTTTTCCTGCACATCATCAATGCTTCCACCTGGGGGAACAGAAAGGCTGGGAGGTCGTCTCACCGGCGGGGCTGCCCCCGCCCGCGTCCTCCCCAGAGGCTCCCCTCGTCGGGAGGGCGCCTTCCTGCAGACGGTTTACAGGGGGCCTGAGTTCGTGGCAGGCATTCTCCTGCTCCCATTTGATGTTTATTGTGCTCCTATTGAGAAGTATGTTCAGAGGCTTGCTCTAGTCCATTGACACGTGCAGGCCGAAAAGCGAGCAGAGTAAGTGTTCTTTATGACTGGCCCGGGGCAGACAGATGCATGCCCTAGATTGTTTTAAAGCTGACAATCCAGAGCGGCCACGGCGCTGGCCCCAGAGAGTTCCCTGTGGAAGGGAGATGACAGATGGGCTGGAGAGGTGAGGACTTGCCTGTCCTGGGAATTTAGGAGTCCCCGAATAGCTTCAGCTAAGACTGCACACGCGGCAGAATTTCAGCACAATCCAGACGAAAGTCTTTCTACCCTTGTGCTCACAGCCGGGGCAGTGCTCGGAGCATCAGTGTGTGTGAGGATGTGGGGTGTGCTTTTGCATATTTGCACGTCTGTGCCACTGTCACCTGGATAATGCTGTGGAGCGTTTCCAGCCCCCCAGAGGCCCTGTGCGCCCTCCCCACCGCCGGTACCCCTTTTTTCTGATGCTTTTTGCCAGACACTAGCATTGCCTCCCTTGGAGGTCACATCAGTGGCGTCAGCACGGCATGACCGCCTTGCCTTTGGCTCTGGCACTCCACGTGGCGGCCGTAGGCTGCGTGTGTGTTGTCAGCTATAGCTCTAGTTCGTAAGAGCCCATGTTTTTAAGCTAGAAAACAAGTTAAAATTGGTTAACCATTTACAGAATGGAGGTCATTGGATGTGGACAGCTTCCTAGGATGAATTTTAATTAGGTTTGTGAAACTTTTAATTTTTTTGTGGCTGCACCGCACTGCGTGGCTCGTGGGATCCTAGTTCCCTGACCAGGGATTGAACCCAGGCTCCTGGCAGTGAAACCATGGCCTCGTAACCCCTGGACTGCCGGGGAAGTCCCCTGATTAGGCTTCTGAAAGAAAAGATGGGAATTTGATCTTTGGATGCACCGGAAGAACCCATGAGGGTAAGAATATGATGGGAAATCTAGCAGGCGTGCAGCTGCGCAGATGGAGAGACGGGTCGGATGAGAGGAGGATCCTGCAGCTTGTGGCCTTCTTCCTCCCTGCAGCCTCTTGGGGCGCCCGTGCCGGTGAATGTCAGGCCAAGTCCTGCTGTCACCCCCCTTAGCTGCGGAAGGTGACCGAGCTGTACACTGTGTCCTGTAAGCCACGCAGAGCCGAGCGCATTGCGTGCGGTGTCTGGGTTCCTAGAAGGCTGGCTGGAGTCTGGTCCAGAGGCCCCAGTGAACGCTGACACCTCCGTGTTACTGGCCCAGGGGGTGGACACGTAGCACAGAGACGGTTCCTCCTGGTTCACACCCACCCGATCTCCAGAACTGTATGCTGAGGCCGCTAAGGGCCCTGTCCTCCCCAGGAGAGGCAGTGAGGCAACCTGATTACTGTACAGCCTCTGGTTTTCCCAAACAGCTCATCCTTGAAAACCCTGTTAAATATTCAAGATAAGGTTACTATTTAATGGAATTATATGGACCATAAAGTAATCTTTTCTGTAGTTGATAGGGTTAACGCAAAGGGATTTTCATCTTTTTGTCTTGCGTGTGCATGTGTATAACATGGGGGTCGTTATAAACATTGTTTCCATGGGCAACTTAGGAAGGTCGCCACTCAGGTAGGCTTTCTCTTTTAAAACTTCTTACTGGAGTGTAGTTGATTTACAGTGTCGTGTTAGTTTTGGGTGGACAGCAGAGTGAATCGGCCTCACATACACACATACTGTTTTGATTCTTTCCCATGTCGGTCATTACCGGGCACTGAGGAGCCTTCCCTGTGCTCACGGTATGTCCTTGAGTGAAAGTGAAAGTGAGAGTCACTCAGTCGTGTCCGACTCTTTGTGACCCCATGGACTGTTCTCCATGTGACCCCCATGGAGTTCTCCAGGCCAGAATACTGGAGTGGGTAGTGTTCCCTTCTCCAGGGGATCTTCCCAACCCAGGGATCGAAGCCAGGTTCTCCCGCATTGCAGGCAGAGTCTTTACCAGCTCAGCCACCAGGGAAGCCCACAGTATGTCTTGTTAGTTATCTGTGTTATATGGTAGTGTACATATGGAACTATATGTTGTGTATATTGGAACGGTCCAATTTCCCAGTTTATTCCTCCCCACATGATAGGCTGTCTTTAATTTGTTCTGTTTGTACCCAGAGGCCCAGACACAGGACTTATTATGTTTTTAATCAGGAGTCAAATGCATTTATTTTGGAAGAAAAAGTGTGAATGATGTCTCTAACGATTCCCTTGGAGTGACGCACCACCTCACCTTCGGAGGTTTCCTGTGGTCTCTTCAGTGACCTCAAGGCAAGGAGTGTGGGGGTATTTCCAT